AGGAACACTTTGAGCCCCATCAATAATCTCTGCAGTGGTGAGGAACCTCATGGAAAACCTTGGCAATTGATTTATTTATTCTGTGAAACTATCTGGTGATAGTAAAAAAAATGTTGACTTGTGTAGCAGCTGGGAAGGCAGCTTGGTTATATTTTCTAATCTGGCTGTTTTCACTGGCTTGAAAGAAGCTGTGAGCTGATGGAAACACACAAAAAAACCAGACTGGAGCCATAACTGGCAGTAAGAAAAGTGCAGAAGTCATCCATTATGAAAATGTATTGGTCTTCTTTAGCATCAGCTCTGAATATTGTCTCAATTTCTCTGCATTTTCAGAGGGAATAGAGCTGATCCAGAGAGTATAGTAGCCATTCCTGACAAGAGGTCTGAAACTTCAGTACAGTCATACTGGATTGTTTTTTTTTTTTATTTTCAGCACAAAGGGTTGCTTCCAAACCTAATAAGGACATTTAAAGGCTTTTTGTTTTAGTGGCCTTTGACTTGCACCACTTGGGGCAAACTTTCTGCACCCTGGTGCATGTATGGAATTATTTTATTTTTCCACTAGTTTAATGGAACACATTCACTATATTTAAATATACTTTCTGGAGATTTTTCACCCTAATAACTTTTTTCTCTTTAAAAGTAATTATTGAAGAGCAGAGTATGCACTGTTTTTATGAATGTCTGCCTTTAGAAACTTGGAAGTTATATGTCGAGAGGAGAAAAAACAAGTTAAGAATGAGAGGTCTAATTTAGTTCTAAAATTTGGACTGATACATGAGGGCAATGTAAGGAGCAAACAAACCAAACCCACCAAAAAAAAACCCTACTTAGAAAAGTTTGCTTGAAGCAAAATTTTCACTCTTTTTTGTTGGAGTACTTGGCTGAAAGGAAACTGCAAGTAGAGAGAATGTGCAGCACTTGAAATATTTTATGGTTAAGCTTCATAAAATACATCTACAGAAATTTTGCTTGACATAGGAAAAATATTTGGTTCTTGTCATTCCTATAGATTACTTTTTCAGAAACTGCAATACTGATAGTTGTCTGAAACCAAGGGCTTTGAAATTACCACAGAGAAATTGCTGTGGAAAGGATTCATATATGCTTTTCTTTTTTATCTGTCTGTGCATACACATCTAGATGTGTATCTGAGCATTTCTGTAGAAGGTGTTCCACTCCATATATTGGTGGTTATTGGTGGTTGAGGATGAGCCATCATTAGCATTCTTGTTAAATGTGATTTTCAGGTTATCCTTTATTATCCTAAGAACCTAATAGTTGACTTTTAAAAAATTTTCTGTGGTTTAACAGTCTGTTCTGGGGGGTAGGCTATAATTGAATTGATAAATGTTAAGTTTCCCTGTTGAAGAAAAGATGGGAGGAATAAATTTAAGTATTTATTTGGTAAGTGTCTATTGAAATAGAAACTTGGATGTGAAACTAGAGTGCTTTCCATTTCTTTTCAAAATAGGTATAAAAATGAACGCCTGGTCCTCCAAGTGCATGGCAGCAGATCATTGCTCATTGATCATCATAGCTCACACAGAATATTATGGTAAATGATGACCTGGGTTTGTGAAAATCTGACTGGGAGGAGTTTCATTTTTTTCCTGCCAAAGTCAGCAAAAAGCCTTGTTAAGTAACTGTGATTACATATATCTCTTGGCAGTCATGAATTTATATTCACTAGTTTTTTTTTATCACTGCTAAATAGGTTTGTTTCAAATTATTTACAGTTTTAAAAGGCATTTTTGGCACTAACATTTACCATGTCAAACTAATTGTAAAGAGGATTTATGGGGAAAGAGTTTATTTACTGCCTTTTCTGTCTGTACAGCTGCCAGAGACATGGTAGTAAACTTTGAGGATTTTTCTGAGCTCATGTTGCAATAAAGCTATCATTTTATTACAAGACCAGGGGTAATATAGAGTCTGCTATAAAATCAAGAAACTCTACAAATTAAAAAATAAATTCACAGTTGAGCAAGAGGTGTCATGATATAGTTTCCAGAGCAACTCTTTTAGATGCAAGTCCAGCCTCTTATTTGAGATTTAGAGTGACTTTTGTACTCAGCCTTTTCACCACAGTTCACAGACACTCATTACTCTCTCTCTTATTCCTGACCCCTGGAGCCACGTGTTTATACAGCCACTCTTCTGCCAGTGATTGAAGTTTTTCTTAAGGAGGCTTATCGTCAATACTAACCTTGGTGTTCCAAGGTAAGGATTTTCTGTAGCAAGCAGCAGAGAGAGGACCTACATCTGGTGTCTGTAGTTTCATTGTAGTGAAGTGCGGAGTTGGCTGGCTGTAAACAAAAGCTTTATTCTGGTGAGCACAGAAAAAACCTATCAGGGCTGTGGATTTACCCAGTGCAATGAATTTATGTATTGCCTTCTTCAAGTAGTTGGACACCTTCCATTTGATAGAAGACCATGATAGAATTGCAGTCAAGATCCTTATGTCTCAAAGTAAATGTCCTCTGCAAAGGATTAGGAACTTTAGTTCTTCCATGGTATACAAAGGGCCAGGAATTGATCATAAAAGCCAACTGTTTAAGAAGCCTTTGGTTTTCTGATTTTAGATTGATGGTTTTGTCTATTGCTTTGACAGAGAGAGAAAATTCAGAAGAGCAGAGATCAGAAGCTGAGGATCAGACAAACTTTTGTTGTTTTCTAACTCCTAGTCAGTAATTTTATGATGTAGCTAATTAGATTAAAATATGAAAAAAATATTATTAAAATGATTCACAGTACTCTTACACAGCTCAGACGAGTCTTATGCAGGCTTTTCATCCTAAAGGAAGTTGGGTGATCAAGTAATATGGATTAGCTGAGAGATTTGTCTGCTGAAGTATATTTACAGTATATGTCCATGAACAATAGGGACAAAATATTTAACTGTTGAAAGATCCTGTTTATTTAAATCCTTGGGCTTTGCATTTTATTTGTTCAATGCTTTCTTAATAGAACTGAAGGGTATTTTAGTTGTGGCCTTTATGATGCCCTGTTGTGGCTGAACTACATGAGGATGAGAGACACGGTTCTGACAGCTGCTACAGGAGGTTTGCTTTCTGCTACATGCTGTTAGGCTGTAAATCACACGTCATGTTCCTCCTAACACAATGTTTAGTTGAGTGAAATTCTGTGGCCAGAGAGAAATCGAGTCAGGCTGGATCTCTGACAGCCTTGTCACCTAAGCTGCAGCTTGTATGGTTTAACTGGTGAGTGCAGTATCTTTGTTTATGCATGTGACTAGCTGGGTCATGCAAGTTACATGCCTTATTCACGAATAGAATAAAGAATTGTTACCAACTGACAGAATGGATGATATTGGACACCTGGTCCAACCCACCTGTTCAAAGCACAGTCAACTAGAGCAGATTGCTCAGGACCACTGGAAGAGTCTGGCTCCATCTTCTTTACTCCTCCTGGCAGATACTCAAGGAGATTTATAAAATCCACCCTAGGCCTTCTCCAGGCTAAGCAACTCCAGCTCACTCAGCTGCTCCCTGTATGACAGATATTCCAGTCCCTAATAATCTTCATGGCTCATCAGTGGAATTGCTCCAGTCTTTATCTTTCTCATGCTGGGGAGCCTGGAGTACCACCCAGAACTTCAGATGTGGCCATGGAAATATCACTTCCCTAGACCCACTCTCAAGAGACTTCCTAAATAAGTCCTAAAAGTAATCTTTGCAAAACTTCTCATCACCTTTGTTCTTATCTGTGGGATGCATTTGGTGTGTTGTTTATGCAGACATAGTGCAAATTCAGTATTTCTGATTCTTCTCTTCTTGTGTGGTTTCCCAGACAAACATTACCAACAGTTTCTTACCTATTTTGAACAGCTGTATATTTTTGCTGACTTTGTGACTAAGCTTCTGATGCTTGCATGCTTTCTGCTCAACTTGGTTACTACCCTCTGTCACTGAGTGTCTGCAGTAAGCAAGGGTTAATGAGAAAAAATTTTACTGGATTCTCAATATTTACTTCATGCTTAGGAAAGCAATTTTTAGAACAATGGGTGGTTTGGTTGATTTATCTCCTGGGAAATACACTGTTGCTTTTCATGGAGTAGCAGAAAACTCATGTCATGCCTTTCCTCTTTCGTAGTCAAAGGAAAAATCAGGAAGAGGGCCTGAGGATGCTGTCCATTTGGGAATGCTTCTAGAACTTAGTATGCTTTATGGTATTTAGAAGTCAGAATTTATGTAGTCAGATTTGAACCACCAAAATAAGTGTTTCAAATACATAAGTAACATTTATAAAAATAGCTGAAGGTTGTGAAAAACACATACAAGTTTAAGGAGCATTTTAGGACCCCAGCTTTAAAAGTTCACTTTACAAACAATGTATTTCTTCATTTTCAAAAGTTGTAACTATGTGCATGTAACAAATTTTTTTATTACCAGGAATTGGTAAAAATCCTTGTGAAATGGTTCTGTTTCTAGGTATGTTATTGGAATTGGATGATATGGTCTCAAAGAATGACTAAATAACTTGATTCCATTAGAAATATCATAAGGAAAACACAAAATTCATTTTGGGTAAGTGGGCACTTGGTTTTTGAGCCACAGTGTGAAAGTGTTCTTAACTGCGACAGAAGAAGCAAAACCCTTTTCTGCTGTGGCCATGCACAGAGAGTTGCTTTATGAAGCAACTTCCTTCTCATCCAGTTTTTATTGTATTTTTATCTGAAGTTACTCATTTTTTTTCCTCCACCTCTTGAAAATAAGTGTTGATTTCCAATGGAATTGAAGTTCAGAAGTAGTGGTGTATGCTGTCTTCTGCTGATGTGGTGCTACATATTTCTTATCTCTTTTTTTTTTTTTTTTTTTTTTTTTTTTTTTAGTAGAAACTCTGCTTTTGTCCCAGTATTTTTCTCAGTGGAGAAAAAAAAAAAAAAGGAAATGGTAGACCTGAGGCTCAGGAATTTTCCATGAGAAGTGCTGGATACCCTCTAAGATGCATAACCCCTGTGTTTGTCATCACTACAGTGCTGCATATGATGCCGTCCTTGACAGAAACGTGGCCATTAAGAAGCTCAGCAGACCATTTCAGAACCAAACTCATGCCAAGCGAGCTTACAGGGAGCTGGTCCTCATGAAGTGTGTGAATCATAAAAATGTAAGTGTTCAGCAGGAGAAATGGTATGTGCATTGCTGTGTTAGAAAGGGAGTTGTTTTGTTGCGCTCCTTTTTTAAATGGAAGAAATTCGAAGCAAATTATGCTCAAGGGCTGCACTCTGTCTGGTACTACATGCCCACAGGAGAGACTGAGGGTATTCCATGTGTTTGTTCAAAGGCTCTGAGAAACTGGGATTGTTCTAGACTTTCCTGCTTCTTGCACCGTCTACTGTATATCATTTAGTTAATTTCATAGTTAATGAAAATATTCCTATACTGCACCAAGAGTGTTATTCCAGGGCTGTATGTTAATTTTATCCATTATCTGTTAGAACTATCTGCCTGACACTGTGTCAACTGCTCTTTTGTAGTGAAGTATGTAGGATTGCCACACTGCATTATAAAGGGAATGTCTCAGGGATTTCATTTTCCTCCACCTCCTAGATTTCCTGCTGCCATACCTGTGTGCCTCTTCCTTTTCATTAGGAGATAATTTTTCAGTTTGCAATGTTTACCTGTCCCTCAGATCTTGCAATGACTCCTTCTCCTTATGCAAAGCATAAATGAACTTAAGACAATATGATGCAAGGGGAGATTCTACACTTGTTCTCAATCACATGGTCACATGGAATGAGAAAGGACTGATCCTAAAATGGCAAATTGCAGGACTTGACACTACAGTGTCTCTGCCTCACTTCTGGGCAGTGATTTATCCTTACATTCCCACTGTGTTGATCAGGACTGTTCCTGTCTCTTCCCTGTTGTCTTGATGGAAGCTACCCTCAGCCAGCCCAATGCATGAGGATTTGAAAATGCAGAGATGAGCAAGAAGTTTTTTTAATGGACTGGAAAGAGCAGAGGGGCAGCAGGAATGTCACTAATTTTAAATATAAAATTTTAAACATGGTGCATGACAGCTGCTAACAGCACCCCATGGGTTGGGTCAGAGCTTTATTCAGGCTGTGCAAAGAAGTGCAGAGGAAGGAGAGGATTGTAAAGGCACCTTTGCAGAGGTAGGATTCAGTCAGAATATGTGGAGTAAAGAGAAAGAATGTTGAACAATTTCTGTTCGAAAACCTGAAGAGGTGATGGAGGTGGGAAGGAGAGTTTCAGATGTTGCCTTCATGGCAGCAGTGCTGGTGTCGTCTACCCCTGTTACCAGCACAGAGGGAAAACGGGAAATCCAGACCTGTGGGGTCACATTGTTTCCTCTGTTCTTTTTCACACATTCTTACCAGTGTCTTTCAGCAGCCCAGCTCGTTTAAAATAAACCAAACAAAAATGCTCACCAAAGAAGAGAAAGAAGAAAAGGAGTTGAACTATGCAAGGTGTCTTTGCTCAGGGGGTCTCTGTTTCAAAGTGCTTCTACTGAAATGTTGTACCTCTCACGATGGAATTTGTGTCAGCCAGCATGTGCATGCTTGTGCCCTCAAAGGAATTGAGACCATTTCAGAGAGAAGGAAAGACTACTGTCTGATATGGTGGTCCTTGGTTATTTGTTCCTTCAAATTAGCATTACTCATAAATAAGAAAATTCTGGCTGTAGCACAAAGACTGTTATGCTAGATTGAGCTGAAGTTGATCTTTGAACCTGCAACTTCAAAATTGAGAGGAGTGTCTCACCCTTACCACTTTGTTTTGTCACTGGTTATCCTTCTTTCAGATGATTTCAAGTGCACCTAAAAGAAATCTGAGAGACCTGTGGTATTTTGTTTTGAATGCTACTGATTTTTTACAGATCCATAAAGTGAGAAGTATTAATATAAATAGAGCAGTGAAAAAACAGTTTATTCTTTAACACAGTTCAAAACAGATTCAACTGATTATGTATATCACTTCTCTTTACTCTTTTGTCTTACTTTGCTTTTCAGATTATAAGTTTATTAAATGTCTTCACACCACAGAAATCTCTGGAGGAGTTCCAGGATGTGTAAGTAACAGGGACAGTAATTAAACTAAAGCTTTAGGGATGTGTGGGGCATTATGATTTACCTTGATTGCAAAAACTCAGCAAAATACAAAGATTGTAGCCTCCTCTAAAAAAGATAATGTGAGTCTAGTGGGTAGAAAAATATTCTGAATTCTCATATTGGGAGCTCTTTTGACAATTTAAGGTGAAAATCACCAGTTTCATATTGTGGTGTAATATTATTTGCCTGGGGAAGTAGGGGTAGGTGTAGAAGACAATCAGCATCTCTGTTGGAACCTTACCCTGCTGGACAACCACTACTGTGCCTAGTACAAACCTGCTATGAATTAAATTTTAAGTATTCTCTATTTTATATTGTTGCTCTCCTTTTATCTTTCTGTCTTTGATATATTCTGTATACATTGCATGGAAATATGTTCCTATTCTGTAGTCTGATACCAGGAGTAACCAATTAATTGTAAAGAGAATTTTGTGAAGCCATGCAAGCTGAGGAGGATTTTTGAAGGCATTTTGCATGGGGATGCATATTTTACCCTCTCAGACACCTCTGTTTCTCTCAGATTCCTGTGTGTACTGTGGTAGCAATCCTTGCTGTGCTCGAAGGCCAAGCAGTTAAATAATCTGGTGCTTGTGGGTCTTTTGGGTTTAGTGCATTTCTGTGTGGTGCTGCCTGATTGCCCATGTAGGGTATAGTCTCTGTCAGGGGGAATGCACCAAGAAAGGGCAAATAATCCACCAGTTTTCCTGGCATGCTGAAAGAGTGGTGTCTCAGCAGTGAGATAAACCTGAATTCTAAAGACACCACCATGATGCTGTGGTTAGTGGGCCCAGTCTCCAGCTGTGTTACTCCCAGTCATCAGAAATAGAGTGAGTTTTAAAGCAAGAAAAGGTATTGTTACTTATTTGAGATGATACTGTGATTTGCCTTCAACACAAAAAATAACCCTGTGGCTTTGCTTTTCCATTCAGCTACCTGGTAATGGAATTAATGGATGCCAACCTGTGCCAGGTCATTCAGATGGAGCTGGACCATGAGCGAATGTCTTACCTTCTGTACCAAATGCTCTGTGGAATCAAGCATCTTCACTCTGCAGGGATTATTCACAGGGTAAGGGGCCTTTGGCTTAAAACTTAAGGCAGCATATGAAATGAAGACTTGAAATGTCACTTGGGTCTCTTGTGTACTGTGAATCAAAGCTCTGTGTCCCAGTGCAACGAATAAGTCGTAAAAGCCACAGATAGAGGTCAGGGGATATAGAATTGGCATTTGCCATCATTTACATGTGCTGAAGCAAATGAAAAGATTTAAAATAGATCCTTTCATTTTGCTTTTTCCACATCAGTGCTGTGCCTGGTAAGGATGTGGTACCTGGTTAGGGATGTGTGATAGTCGAGAGCAGGGGGGATCAGGTCATGTCACTGTGAGCAGGAGGGAATTCCCAGTGGATGGAAAATACCCTGACTTAACTTCTTTATTGAAAAGTGCTTTCACTAATTTGGGATTTCCACATTAGCGGGAAAAAAAAGTTTCCCTAAAGAAAAGAAAGGCTGATAAAGTGGGTCACAAAGTGCATGTTGTTCTACAAAGTTCTCTCCTGGTATGTGATGTATTTCGCAGAGGGTTATAGATTTGGCTACCAGATAGTCATCCAGCAAAGGATGAGTTGAATTATTATAAATGAAGCATTAGGGTATCTCTACATGTGCAGTTGGAATGTCTCTATCAGGTTCGCAGCATTAAGAGAAAATAATCTAATCAAAACAGCACTGAGATACTAATCCTAATAAAAGCAATTAAGTTAACACCAGTAGGCCCAGATAAAGCCCAGTATGCTGAGGTAAAACAACTTCCAGAACAGTTTGCTAGAGAAACAATAGCAAGGGTTTGCTGTATATTTACAAGAATTTCTGATAGTAACTGGGTCAGAAGAGGGAAAGAGTATTTGAAGGGTGACCTAAAGTATCTGTCCGTATCATAGCTGTGTCTGGCTTCATAAAGAACAGTCACATGGGTTTTTTCACTCTCTTTTGCAGGATTTAAAACCAAGTAACATTGTAGTAAAATCTGACTGCACGTTGAAGATCCTGGATTTTGGACTGGCCAGGACTGCAGGCACTAGCTTCATGATGACCCCGTATGTGGTGACACGTTACTACAGAGCACCAGAGGTCATCCTGGGAATGGGCTACAAGGAGAACGGTAGGGCTGCAGTGCCACTGCACCAGGTCCCCTCGAGGGCAAGCTCTGCTTCACCATTGTAAGGGAGATCCAAAGGAGGGACAGGAAATGTAATGGGAAAAGATGGGAAATGACACCTGGAGTTAGAGCAGCTCCTCGCTGTTGTGAACTGCAGCTACAGAATGTATTTGGGATGCACTGCTGGTGAATTTATCAGTGTGGGATTGCAGAGTAACAGGAAACTCATTCTTAGTTATGTTTGAAGTTCCAACTACAGTCAGCTCATTTTGACCAGCGCTTTCATCTTTGTGTTGATGTGTTCACCTGGCTGTGAAATAATGTGGGAACCACTGGGATTGCTGAACGAGTGACGTGTTCTAAATTTGAGTCTGGATCTCTGAATTGTTTGAAGGAACAAGAAGTACAAGCTGAAATAGAAAATCCTAGCCAGCATTTCTCTAAATCCAGAGCTAGATCTGAATTTCAGGAATTAATTCCTTCTTCACGATAAATTTAACAAAGTCCCAGGTTTTTCTGACAGGTTTAATCCTGTCAAGATCTAGGTATAAATTTTGCAGTTTGAGTTTGTTTTTTTTAATGGCAAGTACAGTTGCAGAGAAGAGGAAAAAGCGGAAAATAATAATTAAAAAAAAAACTAAACAAAACATATAATTTGTATGTAATCTCCCTAGAAGTAAATAGGATTTTCCTCTGAATAGTCTGAGAAAGATCTTGGTCGTTGGAAATATTGAAAAAAGCAGGTGGGGGTGTTTGCTATAGAGAAGCAGATAAGAAAAACCTCAAATTTTGCAGAAGATGTGGGAAGAACTTTTTAAGTTGTTCTCATTTTGTAACAAAACTGAGAATTGCATCTGAGTGCCAGGTAGACCAGGCAGGAAATGAGGGAATATTCTATGGCTCAGATTTTGCTGTCAAAGGTATAATTTGTCTGTTTGAGGAAATTTTTTGATGGCAAATACAGCAAATGTGACAAGACCAGGAAATTATTAAAAGTGTCCTACTTAATTTATGTTGAAGAGTTAGCTAAACTGCAGCAGAACTTTTACTAACAGCCAACTGCATCCTGTAAAGGGCAGTGAAACTGATTTTGGGAGCCAATTCCATGACCCCAGCACTACTGAAAACATAATCACACAACCTCTTCTGAAATTACCAAGTGCCTGTATGAATTATTTGTAATGTTTATGAGTTTAAAGTATAAACTTTAATACAAAAGTCTAAAAAGTAGAGAAACTATTACTATTATTATTATTAATATTATGATGCAGAGTCTTAGCTTAGAGAATAATTTCTGAAAATAAAGGAATAATATTCCTTATTTTGTTTGAAATTTTTACTAAGTGCCATTAGAAATTTGAGCTAGCACTCTTTAGATAGTTCTTTAGTCAATATCCAGAGTTCTTCTATTGTCAAATGAATTCTTTTGTTGGATGTTCTTCCCCTCCAGACATTAAGTAGATGATTAGAATTACTGTTGTTGTTATTGTCCATGAAAGGACAGAGAGAGCATTTGCTTTTCACATGATTAAAACTGCACCAAGAAAAAGTTAGACATACTTTTGTGACAAAGTACACAGCTGGGAAAGTTCTAATGTTTGCCACATCCAAGGGTCCTGATCAAATGCCCATTGAGGTTAACACAGAGACTTCCTTTGACTTCCCTGGGCTATGAATCTGGCTTAGGATGAATGATCTTGTCTTGGACAAAGCTGAAACAAAGAGGGGAAGAAAAGAAAATGTGTGAAAATGAAGCTCGGCTGTCAGAGGAGCCACTCTGCTTGGAGGCTCTGACCCAGCTCCCAAGGAAGTCAACAGAAAGGGGTGTTTTTTTTTCCCTGCTCTGGCCTATGCTGCCACATTACTGAAGCTCCCCAACTTTTTTCCCCTCTGACTATGTACACTGCCTGTATAAGGACTGTTCACTGCTTTCATTTTCTTTCTGCACTTGGTTGGCTAAAGATGCATAATTATCACCAGTTTGCTGCACTTCTATGGAAGGTCCCAAAACTGTCACTAGGAAGAAAACTGCCTCTGCCTCTGGCATGCTTTTGCTGTCCCATGCCCCTGATACCTGTACCCTCCTTTTCCCAAATGGAACATTTCACCTTTATTTTGTTTCACCAAGAAATGAGTTGTTTGTTTGTTTCTTTGGTTTGTTTTGGATTGCTTTTGAAGGTTAAGAAAGGGGAAGAAAAAGAGGAGAAAATTGGTTGTGTAGGTCAAACATAACCTGAAAATGAGGATTTCAGGCTCAGAAACAACATAGTATTTTCAAGCATTTCAAAGCAGTTTTTTCCTCTTCACAGGGAAGACAGGTTTTGTTTGGTTTTCAATTTTTTTTTTTTTTTCTGTGAATACTGTGTCACTATCTATCCAGCACTTTTTCTTTAAAGACTTAAAGGGCAAAAAGAACCCCTATCCAAGTCAAGCAGATAAGGTAACTGCATATTTCATCTAAAAGCTGAAGGCAGGATTGGGAATAGGAAATGCTCTTATTATTTTCAATATTTGTCCTTTGGAGCTTTTTGTTACAGCATTTATTTTGAGTGACTACACAGTGCAAAACAGAGTCCACTCGGACTGAGTTCCATGATAAGTACCTTTAGATAGGATATAGGTATAGATCCTGAAAGAGGAGTTTTAAATAACCTTTAAGGGTGGTATTTTTCCATATGGCCTTTACTTGTGTGAGCAGTTCCATTTGGAACCTCTTGTCAGCTGCTGCAGAGAGACTCAGTGCTGAAGAACAAAGCCTAGAAGCTCTGCAAGTAGGATTTATTCAGATTATCATTATCTGGTCATTTTGGTTTTTTCCTAAAAAAAAAAAAAAAAAAAAAAAAGGAGCTGTTGGAGCTGTTTTTTAGCCACAAATTCAGTGTATACCATGGGTCTGTGCAGTTGTTACTTGATCTTTACTTGCTAGCTCTGGACCTTTACCCAAAATGTTGATTTCAAAGTTTTTCCACTGTTGTTACTAACTGCTGTTGAGCTGACTGACACAGCTTTTATTTATTTAGTTACTTATTTTAGCTTTTGGTGAGACATGAAAAAAAAACCCAATGAAACCACAAAACAAACTGTACTGTGCTGATCAACCTTTTTCCCCTCCTTTAGGAGTGAAATGTTGTAGTTAACTTTGCTTTTTTTCCCTCCTTCTTCACTTCCCTGTCTCTGCTGTTCTAGTGGATATATGGTCTGTGGGATGCATTATGGGAGAAATGGTTCGCCACAAAATCCTCTTTCCAGGAAGGGACTGTATCCTTGTGCCATTTGCTGCAGCTTCACCTATTATTTGTTCCTCTTCTCCACCCCATCCCTTTTACCATAAAATGACTATACCAGGAGTGTAAAGATAGAAGCAGAAAGCTGAATCCCAGAGGTATGGCTAAATGAAAATAGCACACTACTGATATGCACAAAATTGGAAATGAAAAACAGATGCACAGAATTATTTCAGTCATTTAAATTACTCTAAAGCCTGTAATCATTCCATTTTATATACTATTTATGTCATGTCAATAAGCAATATAGAAAACAAGCATTATGAAGGCAAATTGGACAGCTTTATTTACTATTCTTCAAAGGAAAAATAAGAAAAAAAGAAAAAAGTCCTAATTTGGCCCATCTCATTCCTGTAAATCTGTTTTTCTGCTTTTATGTTTTGGAAATATTGACTTCATAACATTTGTGGTGACATCATAATCTTTTGCTTGCTAATGCATCATGGTTTTGGATTCATCTCAATGCTGTATGGGCTCAGTGTTGAGTCAATACAACATTTTTCTTTTTCTTTAAAACAAAATTAAGAATTCGACTCACCCAGTTTAAGGCAACTGTTTTTCTGCTGTGGTTTCCAAATTGGCCTGAAATCAGATTCTCTTGATTGAAAAATGAACTTCCCTTTACTTGCATGAGGTCTGTGTTGTCAATTAAACGATATTTCCCTCCCATCTTGTTCTTCTTGTCTTGGGTGATATTATTTTTACCCCCTTCCAAGGTGGTGAAAGCAATATTAGAAAATGAAAACAAAAGAGGAGGTGTCTGCTTAGCCTCCTGTTTATCACAGGCTAAACCTGCCCGTGCTGGCTTGGAAATATAAGTAAGTGTGTTTTGCCCATCAGAATAAAGTAAGGCAACATAACATCTCTTCACTTTTGGAAACAAAAAGGCATCTTATTTTCAGCTAGTTGGCAGAAAGGCACCACGAAAATCTGGCATCAGCAGCCACAGGCAGTTGGTGTGAAGAAAACCCAGCTTTCACAGACATGCAGCCATGGAAGCAATTATTTTTTTGCTGACTTTTGAGTAATTCCTGTCATGTTTGTCAAAGTTGGGTCCTGCCTGTCCTCTTTTCACAGCTCTGTCAACTTCCTCTGAAAGCTGAGCTCTGCTTGGTGGCCCAGTGAAGATGCAGTTCTTCTTCACTAACAGGGAGATGGAGGGACAGCAGAACCCTCCTGTTTGCTGAGGGAGTGACAGCAGCACTTTACTGCTTCCAGTCTTATAGGAAGAGGGGCTGGAAAGTTATTGGTTGCAAAACAAGGCAGAGTTAAAATGGTGATTTTTTTTTTTTATTAGTAGTTAGCTTTGAGATGCTTAACGGTGCTGAGCTGTCCCTGCAGCCTGAGGAGCAGGCTGCACACCCACTTTCAGCTGTAACCTCGAAGTTCAGAGCAGCTCACAGCATTCCCAAGATCTGTAATTCAGTGTGATGGTTATGATGTGTTTCAGTGGTAACACCACTTCAGAAACACCATCATAATGATTCCCCCAAACAATGCACTCTTTTCCTCTTAAAAACAAAACAAAACAAAACAACCCCAACAAAAATAAAAGAAAAACTAAACTATCTATAATAGACTTGAGGTTCAGCTGTAGATACTGAGGATATTTCCATTTAATCTCTTCTGAGTGAAGTCTGAGATTTTAGTTGATAAGCAGCTAGAATTCTTACAAAGAATGCTTTCAGGATAAAAGCGTAGTAGCGTGGTTAATGGGTTGCTCTTCTTTTTCAACAGCAAATTAGGAGATATGTTCTTTTGCCCATGTCTAGAAAAAATGTTAATGCTATATAATTTAAACAATGTAGCTTTTAAAAAAATCATTCAAACATGAGAATTGCTATGTTTCTGTCTGGCTGTGTCTCTTATGACAGCATTGTATTCAGGAATAGCAGTAAAATATTAAAATATATTTTAATATTTCAGCATCAGTTGAAAATAAAAACTGAATTTTTGAACAAATGCAGCAAACACTGTGTAAATTGTGGGACAGTCCTACTTTTTTAATAATTGGAAAACCCGTATCCTGAAAGATAATGTGGGCCAGGTCACAATTATTACCATGATTTAATGGTGGGTTTCAGGTGAGCGGGAAGTTTAAAAAAAATGAAGAAAAAAGAAGAAGAAAAAAAATTTGTGCATTCATTTCCAAGTCAGTACTCATTTGTTAACCAGTTTGATCCCATGAATGAGTTGATAGTGTTGGAAAGACTGGTTTATGTACGGGTCCATACGATTTCCCACCTCTCCATGGCTGTTGATGAGCAGATCTAGTTTCTTTCCCTCCCTCCCAGGTGCAGGAAGAGCTGGAGAAGCATTTGTGCAGCTGCAGGTAAACTTCACAGAAGTACATTACAAACTTCCCTTGGGCTGCTTAAGGCTTTCCAGCAGAGAGTTTTCTCGCTGGAAGAGGCAAGTCTGTATAGAAATCAAAAATACTAGTTCTTTTTAATCATTCAAAGACTCTTTTAATCATTCAAAAGACTGTCTACTGTGTGCCCTTGCTATCAATATGAGCTTACTCACTTCTAGTCTGGAGTAGGAACATTTTTATATGGCACAGTACACATCTAAGACAAAAATCACAGCTGCTGCCATGTTTTATGGAAAGAAAATATTTTAAAATTTAATCTCACCTAAATCATCCCACTGAGTTACCACTGTGCTCAGGTGCTGCTTACTTGGAATGAAATTTCATTTTTAAAGTCTTTGTGGAAATTAAAATGTAGAGGGGATTAATTTCAGAACCTCTCATTTACATAAACAAGAAAGTCTCTCTTAAGGTGCTATGAGAAAGCTCTGGAATCTGGATAGACTACAGCTGGTTTTCAGACAAGTAAGAACAGCCTCCAGTGTCCTGGAGAGTACTGGGTAAAAATTGCCTGGCAGGTACCCTCATTGCTTGTTATTCAGCTAAGGCAGACATTTCAAAATACTGTCAGGGAAACTGCCTTGTCGGAAATCAGAACCTCTTGAGAAGAAATCCACTTTTCAATCCATTTCCAGATGGATTTGCAAACCAAAATATTCCTGGCAAGTTCTGGTAAGCTTTTGTAGTCCACTTCTGAGTTTCTTGCTCAGTGTTTCTTTGATGTTTATTCCATTTTCGTTAAATTGGAAAGAATGTCAGCAGCTAAAAAGTGCCCGAACTCTTGGATGCCATTGGAAATATGTTAGAAAACCCCAGGGCTTTCCCAAAAGCTGGTCCAGCTCTAGGCAATAGCATCTTCAAAATCTCATAAGATTTCAGTTCAAGGATTGGAAATGTATTTCTGGTTTCTTATTTGAAGAGAAGGGAAAACTTAAAATGGATGCTTTCAGGTGAGACAGTTTTATTAAGATCTGAGCTCCCAAGTCCACAGTGATGTCCTACAGGCACACATGACTTAGTGGGGAAAATAAAGTGACCAGAGCATTTATTTTCAGTACTGAAAAGAAGGAGGCGTGTAGAGGATGGTACTATTAGCAATTTCACTTGTGAGTCCTTCAGCAGATCAAAGGAAAACAGTGATTTAGCCATAGAAATATATTGTGATAATAGCCAAGTGTCCTAAGTCTGGCTAGGCCTGAATTTCCACTCTAAATATGGATAACAAAATTCCTACTGCAAGTAGCTTAGTCTTAGAGAGTCAAAAGAGAAAATGCCATTAAAGTAGGAAGAGAGAAAAATTCCAACTTCCTTCTATGTAACTCTGAACATCGAAAAGGAATTGTGAAGAGAAGTCAGCATTAACAGATAGAGTTAATGTTTACTGCAGCCAGATTTTCAAAAATTCCCTTGCCCACCAGCTGTCTTTGAGAGTGGTGGGATTAAGAGATGCTCTCTGACATCTGACAGAAAGTGTTCTATTGCCTTAGAAAAAGAGTTTTCATCAAGAAAGTCTTTTAGGAAAAGGTGCCGCCTTTCCACCACTCATAAACAAAATTTGTCTTTGCATTTGATCTGCATTGATTAATATGTGTAATTTTAGTGTTTTGAGAGCATTTTGGGGTGTTTCTTAAAGTACAGTGTAATAAAAACTTCTGCATTTTTGTTAAGTGCTGTCCGTTGTTTTACTTGTTCCGGGTGGTAATTTCTTAAGGCTTGTTTTGTCTTAAAATCAAAACCAGCAACTAGTATCAGGATTATTTAAAAGGTACTGTTAAGTGTGACTTGCCTGGCTTTCCAGGTGGGATCAGCTGATTCATGTTAGCCTGCTGCTTAAGTGTGTTAGCTATGATGGCATTGAAAGCTAAATTTGGATTTTGTTGACCTGGATTATTCTTCCCTGGCTATTTGGTTTTGGACTCAGGATTTGTCTTAAAGTTTGCTCACATGAGGTGAGGCCTGTTTCAAAGAGGTCTCAGGGTCGATGTGATGATGATTTGGCTGTTGCCATTTTTCTCTTTTTTTTTTTTTTTTTTTTATTGAGACTTGCATACTCCAACAGATTAGAGTGTAATTTGCACTTAGCATGAAACACCCATGCTGTCTGTCATCTGAGTGCCTCTTGGACTGGATCCCAGGTGCTACAGTGAAGTTGATCCACTGCTTGTTTCCCATCAGTCACCTTAAAGATTTTCAGGATGCACTGCTGCCTTGTATGAATTTCAACCAAGGAAAGTTTTAATTGTGTTTTCTGGCACCCATGAGAATTGGATGGTCTCAAATGTATTGGAGGTTTTTTTCTGTGGAATTAGTCAGCTTTTTTCTTGATGGCAGCTGTGCTAAACTGAGCTGAGACAGACTGGAACAGTTGAGCAGAGAATTTAGAACTTGTGGACAAAACAGTACTGACATGCCTTTTGTCAAGAGCAGGCAGGTATTTGGATGGGATCAAAATAAAGAACTGGAACACCTTCAAAATCACATGAAGCTAAGTCAGGAGAGGTTTAGGCTGGATATCAGGAAAAGGTTTTTGCCTAGAGGTTGATTGGGCACCAGCACAGGGCAGTGGTCACAGCACCAACGCAACAGAGTTCAAGGAGTGTTTG